AGCCGGCAACTCTCTTTGACCCTCTCCTCTACTCCGACCTCTCTCTAACCCATCCTCCCATCTGTTGTTTCTGGTCATCTCTGTCTACTCTCTCTCGTCCATTCACCTGTAGTTTGTACGTTTGTGCCTCTCTGCCTTGGTGGAAGCCGATCATAGCCTACCAAAGTTACGAAGCAGTATCTAGATCGCTATTGTGGTCTTGTCTTGTGGATTTGTGGAAGCTTCCAACCTGTTCGATTATCTTAATTCTTACTGAGGTAGTGAGGTATAATCGTTAAATAGTGAAATTGTATGTTGTTCGCTTGGATAAACCATTTATTGCATGTTCTGATCTCTAATATTGGCTTTGAAATGGCCTTTGGTGGAAGCCTGGTCCCTAATTGTGATGTGTTATCATTTTTGTATATGAATTACATGTGTTGTCATTAAACGTGTTTGGTGGAAGCATTAAACCCTAGATCCGACCTGTCAAACCCTTTGTATGAACAACCTGTTAATCTATTATGCAATGGGCATGCATGTGAGTCTATGATTATGATATTTTGATATAGATGGCCTCTGAATATGTGATGCCTCGATGATGCATCATGTCCATGTCTTTCTGAGATATTGATATGCATTAGTTTTGAACTATATATGATGTTTCTGAATATGTGATTCACAGTTTAATGAGTTTATGGGTGGAAGCTGCATATTTCTCTGATATGTTCATATTCATGGGTGGGAGTTGCATGTCTCTGATATATGAGTAAATTGTAATGTGTACACATCAGAATTATGATGCTTTCATACTTTCATACACATATTTTCTGAATTCTGATGATTTGTGAATACAATTGGCTGAGTAAACATGATGATTGAAGTTACCTTTTTCTACTCCAACACTCAAACGAGTAGTTAGAGTGAACTGGTATCTCCTAAGTCTGTAGAGAAGTGAATAGGCCTACTGCTTATATCCTTCTGTAGATCAGCTTGCTGATTGTTCCAGACTGTATTGTCATTTTGTGAATGTATGATGTTCAATGTGTTAAGTTAATTGCATAGAGTTTTTGAACTATATACTCATATGACTTATCAGAATGGAAGATGAATGTATGGATACCATACCTGCCTCTGGCTCTCAACCTCCTCTGACTCCTATTTCCCAAGAACCTGTGGTGGAAGCTCATGATGTTGGGGCTAACAACAGCACACAGCAGACAAATGTTCCTAGAAATAAGAGAAAGGAGGTAGAGTCTAGAAATAGAATATGGGATCAGTTTGATAAGATCAAAGATAGTAATGGCGTTGTTATCAAAGGAAAATGCATACATTGTGGTAAAACATATTGTTGTCAGTCTAAGAAGCATGGCACTTCCTCTCTTAGAAATCACATACTCAGTTGTCTGAAATTGCCTTTCTCAAAGGATGTTAGGCAAGCCCTTCTCACTTTCCAACCAGTTCTGTGTAATCCAACATCTGAACAAACTGGGGTGTTAGGGACTTGGGTGTTTGATCAGGGTGCAATTAGGAGAGCACTTGCTGAAATGCTTATCATTGATGAGCTGTCATTTGGATTTGTGGACAGACAAGGATTTAGGAAGTTTATCTCTGTAGCTTGTCCTAGGTTCCAAATTCCTTCCAGATGGACAATTGCTAGAGACATCTACCAAATATATATTTTTAGATGAGAAAGTAAGTCTGAAAAAGTTGTTTAGGGAACACACTCAGAGGGTGAGTATAACAACTGACACATGGACCTCTGTACAAAGGATCAACTACAAATGTATAACTGCACATTTCATTGATCATGAGTGGAAGCTGAATAAAAAAATAATTTCCTTTGTTCCCGTGACTTCCCACAAAGGAGAGTACTTCACAAAAGCCCTAGAGTCTTGCCTGGTAGATTGGGGATTGAAATCTATCTTCACTCTGACTGTTGATAATGCTAGCAGTAATGACACTGCAATTGGTTTTTTAAGAAGAAACTTTTATCTTGAGGTGCCTCTTCTGTAAAAGTTAAGTACCTTCATATGAGGTGTATTGCTCATATCCTTAATTTGGCTGTCCAAGATTGTTTAAAAGAAAGTGATTCTTCTGTTCAAAGAGTCAGGGATGCTGTTAAGTATGTTAGAAATTCTCCTGCTAGGCTACAAAAATTCAAGGACATTTCAAACTTGATTGGAATGGAAACTAAAGCTAGATTGCACCTAGATGTCCCAACTAGGTGGAATTCAACCTATTTGATGCTAAAACTTGCAATGTCCAATGAAAAAGTGTTTGAAGCTTATGAGGAGAATGAGAGTTCCTATCTTGTTGATCTGGGAATGAGCTGAGAGTCCTGATGTTGAGGACTGGATTACAATCGAAACTTTGATGGTCATTCTTAAAAATTTCTATGATATGACACTTAGAATTTCAAGCTCTCTTTATGTCACTACAAATACATTCTTCTCTGAAATATCTGATTTGTTCCTTGTTCTCAAAGAAATGGTTACTTCTGAAACTGAATTTGTGTCTAAAATGGGGACTACTATGAAATCCAAACTGGATAAGTACTGGGCTGATCCAGAAAAAATGAACATGCTCTTTTTTTTGCAAATGTGCTTGACCCTAGAGACAAATATGAATACATGTCACATCAATTGAATGCTTTGTACGGGGATAAGATAGGTGTGGCATTCTTTGCAAAGATAAAGCTGGGTGTGAATGAGTTGTATGGTGATTATGTTACCAACTATGATATTCCAGTCAGTGGAAGCTCTCAATTAACCCCAAATTCTGTTTCTTTACAATCTGAGTCAACTGGAAGTAGGTCTGTCTCTAAATTCAAAGCCCAATTGGAAAAGCAAAAACAAGATAGTGGCCTCTTAGGGTTGAAAAAAATGAACTTGAACTGTATTTGAGTGAGAACATTCTTGAGGAGGACAATGAATTTGATATATTAAGATGGTGGAAGCTTAATGGTGAGAGGTTTCCTATCCTATCTAGGATGGAAAGAGACATTCTTGTTGTTCCTATTTTTACAGTAGCTTCTGAGTCTACTTTTAGTACAAGTGGAAGGGTGTTGGATTGTTTTAGGAGTTCATTGATTGCCAAAATTGTAGAAGCACTCATATGTGCTCAAGACTGGTTGAGGATGTCCAACCAGCCTGTGTCAGTTGAAGAAAATATTGACGAGGTTGACAGGCTGGAAACAGGTACTAACTTTAACATTTTTAGTATTCAGTATTTATATTTGAAGTTATTGCTAACTTGATTTTGTTTTCAATGCAGAATTGACTGAAGGAAATGTTGGTGGAGGAAATGTTGGTGGTGGCCCTTCTCTTGATCAGATAGTAGTAAAACTTATACTTTATCTTTTATATATGTAATTTGTTACTTCACTAATAAAATGTTATGATTCTGTCAATGTCTTGGCTGTAAATGCATAACCCTGCTGCTTTGATGGGAATTGGAAGTGTTGCTAAGTCACTGGTAATGTGTGTGTGTGACAACAAGACATGGTAATGTTGTTTCAGTGTATACTATTTGTTCCGGTGTTCCATATTTTATGGCAATGATGATAGCTTCCACCATGCAATGAAATTAATGGTAGCTGGTGTTGATTCTATTTCTATATAGTTTCAATGCCCCCATTAATAGTGAAGTGAATGCAAATCTGAGCCAAACTATGCCCCTGCTACTTGCACTTTGCTGGAAATACTTTAATACTCCCTCCGTCCCCCAATTAAGTTCCTACAAATTATGATATGACACTTTCCTACAAATAATTCACTACAAAATATGTTGCCAATGTCGATTTTTTTTTGCCAAAAAATGTACTTTCAGGTAAAAATTTATAGGACTAAAATTGTAAATCTTTCTTCCAAATATAAAATTTAAAAATATAGACTTAATGATTGCCTAATTGCCTTCTTCTTTTTCCTTTTTCTTTTTTTTTGGGAGGGGGGGGGGGGGCAAATTATTTCTAATAGTAATATATAAAAATATAAAAAGTGGGGGATCATGGCCCCCTTAACCCACTACATGCATCCGCCCCCTGCTATGCTCAAATTTCTTACAGCTCCCAAGGGAACCATTGGTCAAACACCACAAGGTTTCCGACAAGAAGTTAACTCTCGCACTGCCATTTAAGGCAAGACAAAATAATGAGTATGCAGCCATTCAAACTAGTCTTAGGGGGTCCGAAGAATCGAAGATCATCATTTGAGAAAATCCTCTCGAGTTCACCTTCTTAGTGACTCGAACGTGAAGTGATTCAAGTTAGGTCACTTGAATCACTCTCACTTGTTGGTTAAATGCAGTTAGGTCACTTGAATCACTCTCACTTGTTGGTTAAATGCATTATCTCTATGGAGAGGAGCTTATCCCTATATGACATGTCAATCTGGAAGACTTATCATTTGCAATGTTCCATTATGCAGTTGCTAAATCCATTTGAGGTGATAATGGTGAGGTTTTATTTGATGGCAAGAGAAAGGATATTCTCTTTTACTATCACAGAACAAGCAAAGAGAAAAAAGGAAAAATAAAGAAGAGGGGTATTCTCTTTTACTGTCACGGAACAAGCAAGTAGAAAATATAATGTATCATTTGAGATTAAAATATAATGCATCATTTGAGATTAAACAGGTTTCTGTCTGAATTCAAGAGCCGGAAGAGAAAAGTATGACTGTATGAGTAAGGAGTAGGCGTATTTGAGTTCATCTCGATTTATTCTTGTGGGTAATATTTCTATGAACATTCAGGGATTATTATTGTAAAATTCCTAAAAAGGATTACTCTTATAAATGTTGCCGATGGATGTGTTCGTGCAGGCCATGCACAACGGTGCCACCAAGATTCGTCTTCAATGATTGCTCTAACGTCTACACGTGATTGAATTGATCATTGGCTGATTGTGTAATTCAACTTTTAACAATAATGCGGAGAAAAGATATCTATATGATGAACTCAAGACAGATAATTTTGCCATTTATTTCAATTTCAACAAAAAATACTAAACCATTTGATCAATTATACCCCACAATCAATTTGGCGAAAACAGCAGAAAAACATATATTTAGTGGAAAATCGAAGTTGATAATACACACAAAATTGCCTGAATGAACGCATCCTTAGACGACAATAATATTTTTCACCCTCCTTTGAGAGGGTGATGTTCACAGTTCACCCCACCCTATTTGTCTACCATGTGGCAAGGCAATACATTACAATTTAGAAATTGTTTTGTCTTTTTTATTTTTAATCCAATTTCTTTAAAAACAGTATCAAAATTTTTCATTTTGTACGATCTTTCATATGGTACTAATATTGCATATGGAAAAATTTTAAAAAATCATCCAAAAATAGATATGTAGAAAAAATGATATTTTTTCAATTTTTTGTATAAAATATTGATATCATTGGAAAGATTATAAAAAATTAATAAATCTAATATATTTTTTACAAAAATTAGACAATAAATAAAAAGGTTATAACATTTTTGAGAAAAAGATAGATGAAATGCCACATGGCAATCATAGATGAAATGGGGTGATGTTCACCCTCCTTAGAGAGGGTGAACAAAACTACACTCTCCTTAGACAGGCAGACTATGGCTATTTTGTATGATGATAATGAATCTATTTAAGACTATTCGATTGCTCAAACCTAGGACACACATCCATACAAGGAAAGAAAACAAGAGGAAAGAAAATGGCAAAGAATAATGCCTCTTCCACATTCCAACAGGTGCTGCTGGAGAAGAAAATAAAACTCTTTCTAATGCCTCTTCACTTCCCGGAGAATACTTGCCACCTTTGGGGATAGCCTTGGTAGGAACTTAAACAGCTGAAAGAAAGACCAAATGTAGCCATGAAATGAGACATTGCAACATGCAATGCAAGGTTATATTGCAAACAAAAGAGGGTTGAGTGAAGTAGTCAAGTTTTGAATCAAATTAATTAATCAATATGCACTACCACCAAAGATTCCCATTCTTTAGCTGCAACTCAATCATAACGGTCCGTTTGAAACATGGGAAATGCTAGGGAAAAAACAGTGAGGAATAATATAGCAAAATTTTGGAAGGAAAGATAACTTTGAGGAAAATAAAACTTTGATTCGAACTCAATTAATTCAGGTTTAAATTTTTATATGAATTCACTTTCATTTATTTATTTGTATTGCTTAAATACTAAAAAATCTTAACATATGCAACAAAATTAAAAATACAAATCATACTTCACTTTTCTTTGCATTTACTGAAAAAGATCCAAATTTAAGAAAATAATGTTCCTTAGTAAATAGATTTTTTTATCACAACAAGGAAACTTCAAATAGAGCAATTCCTCTCTGGAAACCAAAACTCTAAAAAACTTCAATGAAACATGGTCGGACTTTGCGATGTTCGGTACGTTACAGGGCATTTTCATAAATTTGGAGACATTTGGGATGTTTTCGTAATTTCCGAGCGTTAGGAAGCACACTTAGACAAATAAACAAATTATGAAAGCACTCGTGACGTATGCAATTAAGAACCACTACATGATGTAAACAATATTAATGTTTTTAATGTGCATGTGTTATGTGTGAATGCATGATCCTTTTTTAGAGTACATCGCCAAAATTATATTAAAAGATCATTTTGTCAATCGACAAATGATCATTCACTTGTGAATGCGTTAATATAACAAACTACATTCTCTCGTGTTTTGACTGTTCTCACTGTTTACCCTCATCAATATTTATCTCATTTAACTTCGGATATGTGTCAAACATAATGAAGGGTATCTAAAATATATATGTTCTTAAAAAATTAAGACAATGCATCATTATACCTATAAGTAAGTCATACTTGCTACTCATAATTTTTTCTTCTTTTCAACTTGCAAAAGAAATGCCAGAGAGTAGTTCAGGCGTAGGAATTATATAAGCAACCGCCATGGCGTATATTAATGAAGACAAGTGTTTTGGCTTTTAAGAGTACATATTCTTGATAATCTTCTTTGTCATTAAAATTTATTGTGAGTTCGATTATTTTAAACTTCAAATCTAACAAATGTTGTCTCAGCTATTCTCAATATCAATTCTTCTTTGAGTAGCAAAGAAGATGCAATAACGAACATCTATGAATTATAATCATGAAGATAAATTGTTTTAACATTTAATATCAGATACTTTAGACAACCTAAGGCTATATTTGGCACAACGAACTGAAGCTGGAGGCTAATGTCTAAATTAGGGTTGTTGTCTGAACTAGAGACTATTGTATGGAGCTGAATTTTGAAGTGCTGAATCTGAACTGTTAACTGAATGAAATAAATCTGTTTGGCAAAAGGAGCTGAAAAAAGTGTCGAATAATATGAAATTACATTAAAGGACATATGATTAAAAATGAATAATATATCACTCCATATAATGATTTTATATTTTATTAAATATTAAATGAAGTACATCGTAATATTTTGGGTCACTGTTTTTGTCCCACAAATTCCAATTAGTCGAAAAAAGAACCATCCAGAGCATTGTATCCTCTTCATCTAGATGTTGATGATTTGAAGGATTAATCGTCTTCTAGATTCTACTCTATGTTAGAACATTTCTATGAATGCTATAAACCCCTCCCTCCAGCCGAAGACTACTGGTAGGTGGCTGCGTTACCCTGGAGCTGAATTTTGGATAGCCATAGCCTAGCGATCGAGGAAGAAATTGGAGGACGGAAGTATCTTGCGTCGAAGGATATTATGGGAATAGAAAATCTAGAAAAATCAGACTGAAGATAAATGCTTGTGGCCTAAACGTTTGGTTTCAGACCATTATTTTCAGGTTAAGCTAGTTTCAGCCCTTCAACCAAGCAGACCTATTGTAATCATAATTGGCTGAATTTAAAAGAATTCAACCCTTTATTAGCTGGAGGAGCTTGCCGAACATAGCCTAAGTCAAATTTGAATATTATAGAAATTTAAATTAGATATTTACTGTTGAAGGGAGGGGTAAAGCGTGAAAATAGTCAAAATAAGAGGGTGATTAATTGACTTTAAGAAATACAAGGTTCGACTAGTATTATGACCTAACAGTAACCTAGTAACCTTAAGCGGTAGTAGTAATTTTCCCTTATTATAAATTTACTTCTTTTCAGCTTCACATTTCTTAAAATTTTCCCATTTCTATGCATCGATTTCACAACTTAACTACTAGGCACACAAGCTATACAAATACCAAAAGAAGTGTGAGTGTGCGACAGATACTAGAATGCAATCTTTTAGTTGGCCTCCTATGGAACTACTGAGAAAAAGTAAAAGTCCTGGCTGTGAACCTAGAGACAGTACTAGAAGTATAACATCATACAGATGTGAGACTGTGAAAGTTCTAAATGTAAATTTCAAAGTCCAAACAGAAGTCGAAGATGTGTAGAACATACCCAAACTTTGATGTACGCGTCCATTACAACTGGAACAATGCAAACAAATATGGTGATGGCGTCCTTATCAACTTCAAGCCCATAATGTTCCGTGATAACCTCTAACAAAGTCTCCCAACCGGATGCTGAATGATACCTGAAAATTTTCAGTATATGAAACCAATAGGGGGGGGTATGTTTGGATCTCAGAAAATGCTAAAGAAAAGAAATGCTAAGGGAAGACATTTCCTTGTGTTTGATATTACTTGAAAAATGCAAAGAAAATGAAATATGATTAATGTTTTTTATAAGGTTTGCATATGTTGAGATTTCTTAGTTTTATATAACAAAAATGGATGAATAAAATTAGTTTGAGGCTTTGAGCCAATAATTTAGTTTTACTTGCATTTTCCCAAATTCTCCTATATTTCCCTCTTTGTTTTATTTCCCTAGTAGCACTTTAGTGTTCCAAAAAAAACTCATAATGCTAAGCCGAAATCCATTTATATTTCATTATTGCAGTAAAAAGATGACAATGTGGAATATATTTTTCTTTCATAAGCTCCATTTATTCAAATCAAATTAGTATGGATTGGACAACAACAGTACTAGACTAGACCTGATCTAGAGCCCCATTCCAATACTTCATAATAAGATTTGAAGTTCCACCATATAAGGTTAACCCAATTAGAAGAGGTATTTCAGGTATCTCAATGTCTTATGTGTTTGCTTATTTGTATTTTGGTATTTAATCAATAAGTAATTACTTAGCAGTTATGGACTACAATAAAAATTCATCAATGAAAAAATACCAAATAAATAGTTACCCTAAAAATATATCGGTGACGAGAATAATACTTAATGCCTTCCCAATGTCCGAGGTATTATTTATTATTTTGTAACCCGTGAATTTGAGCAAAGCCACCTACAAAACACATGCCAAAAAGAAAAATAATGTGACTAGAGAAAGAAATGGTATTTCATTTCAGAATGTCAATTTAACCTATTTCCATTCTATATATCCTACAGGAAATGCACAAATAAGCCACAGATAGTACTAGAAAAGTAATATTCAAGTGAAAATCAATTAATGCAGTAGTCTGTACTCTGTACCCAGAAGCATGAGACAGTGAGGAGCTATAAAATACGTAGTAATATTTTCCAGATCTACAGATACTTTTACTATAAAATGATATGTTCAAATATGAAGCTCTCCCCCCCCCCCCCCCACGATACAACACTTCTGTCCCTGCCATTGTCTCTACCTGATATGATATTTCATTGAAAGCCAAAATGTACAACGCTATGTTTTTCACATCCGTAGCAAGAGCACTTGAGCTAGTGTGTCACATTTTTATGATTTTACCGGCATACATTTTATCACTGTCTAAAGAAGAAGAAGCAGAATAGAGAAAATTCAAGAATAAGAAGGGTATTCTTTCTGTCCCAAATTTATTGTCGTTGTAGTAAAACTATGTTCCAAAAAAATTGTCAGTTTAGGAATCCAGAGCATATTTTTACTTGTCTTCCTTATTTGCCCATATCAGCTCTTCCTACATTATATGGTTCTTCCTAGATTTAGACATTTAGTACATTTATAGCTCAAAAAACAATAGCGATCATTTAATATTAAACTCATTTACGGGTATAAGGGTCATTGTGTAAGGTTGCTTGATATGTAAGCATTTTTCTAAAATAACTATTACTTGGGGACTGAGGGAGTAATACACAGCGTACTAATCATCGATTATAATTGAATTCAATGTTTCCGATATTATACAGCGTAACAATAATTAGACAAAAATGTGGGAGTTCCGGAGATTGGTATAACACCTAAAAATAAGGAGATATCAGATATCTATACTTTTTAAAGTTCAATAAAGAAACTATGCATACCACTGAACATAAGGACATAAAAAAGTTGGCTACAACGACATTTAATTTGGGGTAGAAGGATTACTGCTCCCTCTGTCCCACTATCTTTGTCTCATCTTTCCTTTTCCGACTGCACACTAAGTTTGTCCCATACCACATATATTAACATTTTTGTGGTTCTAAATCTTACATCATTCCTACTTTACCAATTCAATAACCAAATAAACCTACTTTTCTTAATAACCGCACCTCCTCCTCAAGTAAAAATTTTAAAAGGACGGAGGCAGTATTATATAAATGAAAAACAGTTATAGGAAGAAATTAGAAAGAACATAATGGAAGCTTACTTTACTCTGATTGAAGCTCAAAAGAATGAATAATGAGATCCCAAATACAGCATCTGACCATATATTAGCGAATTCTCGACGATTCTCTAACCTCCGTTCATCCTGCATCTCTAACCTACCATAACCATCAAGATGTTAAAACATTGGCAACCAATGAAACCATTAAGTTTATTACAGACATGCAAGTTCATATGCTCTTTGGTGAGACTAACTAATCAACTAAGTTCAATCTTTTAGTGAGATTCGGCCCAAGTACAATACTGTCCAATTGAGTGACAAGATCCCAATTTTGAATTATATTGGAAGTCACAGATATCTGAAAGGCCTGTGCCTTTACTCCAAATGCATTTCTTTTCTCTCCGTCCCAAATATATAGTCTGCTTTGACCGACAAGGAATTTAAGAAATTTAAAAAACTGTGTAGTTCAGAATTGAAATTCATTTAAAAGAGAGAAACATTGTGAACCACGTTTTGTTTACCTAAAAAGGAAAAGGCGATACTTTTGAAACAGAGAAAAGAAATTCATTTGGATGATTTAAGGACAAAGGGGGTATTATTGATGAGAATCATTGCACAAAACTTACACTTTTTCCCGAAGCTCCGTATAAAGGTCCTTGTCCGAAAGAGATGGGGATTTGCCAATCTCAACCTCAAAACGGTAACGAGCTTTCTCAAGTTTTAGTTCCTTAACCAACTCGCGCTTCTGGGATGTCCTCACATCAAGCATCTCTGCTGCCAGTGGTACAGTCTTCACGTACCTTGCCCCCCAATACATGAGATGAGAATCAGTTCACCAAATATAAATTCCAATATTGATAACATTGAGCAATAAATATTCAAAGAGTTGATTAACATTAGTAATATATAAACCAATAATTAATTCATCAAAGAACACGTAAATAATTCTCAGATGAAATTAGAAAGAAATTCAAGTGTAATGAGGAATTTCCCATCTCTGCCTCCTAGTTTCTATCTGTTCTGTTCATTGTTTTCATAGAGCTGTGTATTGGTTTTTTCAATGAAAACATCTGCAAGCGTTTGAGGGAGATTAGCATAAAAGGTGAGTGGATAAGATCAGCATAATTCTTCAGAGGTTCAAGTCTAAAGCACATGTATACTGCTTTGCAGGAGAAAAATTAGGAAGAAGAAAATGATTACCCACCTCTCTAGAAAAGGCATTAGCACATAGTCATGAACTAAAAAATCCATGCTCCATGGAACTATAATCAGCACCACCAAAAACTTAGCCTGAAACAAACAAAAAAGTACATATAACGCATTATTTTAGCTTGTCATGAGGAACCATGCTTTATCTTTCCCAAAAAAACCTAGAAAAAAAAAACAGTTGAAACAAATAAACTACCACAATCTATGCAATACAGGACTCGGTATCTTGTTTGACAGAGAAATGTCAATATTACAATTTACAATATCAACAGAATTCTTTGTCATTGGGAATGAAGCTACAACAAGTGGATAATCTGAGAGGCCATTCAAGGAGCATATTATGAACTATTCCCTCTGCCCATAGTATTCCTCCCATTTGATTTATACAGATAGTGAAATTCTGTGAATCATGTTTACTTAGATATGGAGAATCAATAAAAACCATGCAATTTTTTTCGTAATAGGAAATGAGAAAACCTTATTGAGATGGCCAAAATAGGAAAGCGGGAAGAACATTTTAGAACATATGAATTAAGTCTTTATTTGCATTTTGCAATCTGATGAGTTATATTTACAGAAAAAACTAACCTATAGAAACTCATCCATCCCAAATTCTTCTAGCTTTGCAATCTGTAGTAATATATGTCATAGCATATCTAATGTTATCTCATCGCTACTATCCTACATATAAAGAGGGATTCTTTTAAGTTTTAACATTCCTCTTAAACATGCTTTCTTACATTTCAAGATGGTCGCGGTTCCTACAGATATGGATAATTATATTGCAGTTGGATCCCTATATTCACGATTTCACGTCATGCTTGTTGTCTTTCACTAGTACTTAGAATCTGAGTAACATCTAGATTTCTATTTGAATATTCAATCATAAAGCATATTATCCACACCTCCACGGTACATTAGGGTGGAAAGTCCTATAATACCGAACATTCTATGTTGAATTGTACTAAAAGAGTAATAATGATAATAATAATAATAATAATAATAATAATAAAATAAGAATAATAATAAGGATAATCATACTAGTACTAGTAATAGCAGAAAAAGATAATCAAATGGTTAAGGAGAAGAACAAAAAAATTATTTAAGCTGAAAAACTTTTTCTCTCTCTAGGGTTGCCTCACGTAGTTCCTAGGATTGTCCACCCTCGGTTTTTCCGAGGGGCGTGTGGGATTGGTTGGAGGGAGAGGCGATTGGTTTGGACGGATTGGTGGATTGAGGCGGCGGCAGGTTGGGTTATTGGTGATTAAGGACGGTGGTTGGTGTATTTAGATATAAGGTTTTCGGCGAGCAGTGATCGAAGGCTGAGTCCAAAGCAGCAGCAGTGAGGTGGAGTAGGAGCACATGGAAGCTTTTGTTGATAGCTACAAGTAGATGTCGATCGGTACAGATTCGGAGGAGGTTGATCTTGATGATCTTGATGTTGAGGAAGTTCCGGCGAAGACAGGAAGGTAAAATTTTCGGAATTTAAAGAGATGATGTTATAATTGTGGAGGCCAGGGAAGGGTATGGCGGTTAAGGAGATTGGGGAAAAAGGTATATGTTTACTTTTTTCCATCATTTTCATACGATGCGTGTTCTTGAGGGGGGTCCATGACAATTTGAGTTCTATATATCACGCAGTCTTGTGATGTTAAAAGAAGTTATGCCTGATGATATTGCACACAAAATTATTTTAAACGAGACAGAGTTTTGAGTTCAGATTCATAATGTTCCATGTAATCTTGTTAATCTGGGTACTGCCAGACGTGTGGGAAATTTCATAGGGCAATTTATTAAATATGATGACATTCAGAAGAGTGATAAATTAGAGCCATTTATGCGGGTTAGGGCCCTTATGAAGATGGATAAATCTTTGAAGAAAGGGACAAATCTGAAAAAAGATGGCAAAAGTTTTTGGGTAGATTTTAAATATGAGAGGTTGCCAAACTTTTGCTTTTATCTATGGTTTTATTGGGCATTCAGATAACTTTTGTCCCTTAAATTATGAAGAAGGCTTAGTTTTAGAAAAACGATTTGGGATCCATCATAGAGCAGGGAGTGGGGTGAAAACAAGTCCTACAGGAGGTCATAGATGGCTTATGGAGGGTTCATCGAGGTCTGGCAAATCGGATGGATATATAGAGGCACAGAAAGTAGAGGACAAGATTGATGAAAGGGTGAAAGATGTAACGACTGAATCAGCCCAAAGCTTTACTAAAGGAGGTGGGGAGGGGTCAAAAGAAGAGGTCTCGAAGAGAAGGAAGATCAGGGAGATCCGGACAGAGAAGGAAAAAGAAGAGGATATTATGGCTTTGTATGGGACAAAAAACGGGGAGGAGACGGGCTTTGCTCCTTAAGCCCGCCGAAGCCGCTGACGGAAGATGGGAGGCTACAGGTCCAAGGAATGATTCGAGTTTTTTAGTTTTTGTTTTGTTTGTTGTTTCAGAGATTGTTATGTTTGCTTTGCTGTTTATTTTTTTGTTATGTTCCTGTTTGTAAGACGTTTATTTTGGATGTGGGGATGAGAGGAAAATGGTAACCCTTCATGGCTTTAAGGTTCCGACTTTTGGATAAGCGAATTATATTGCTTCTTTGGAGGTGATTAATTCCAACTCTGGTTCACGGGATAACAAATATCAGATTTCTTTTTGTCACTTGACTCATACTCTGAAGTCTGAATTATCTATTATCAATATAAACCGAATTCTTCCAAAAAAAGGAGAAGAACGAAAATGGAAAATGCAATTACCGAATTGATGGAAGCATACTGTATAACACGATCTTCATAAAGAATATCATCATCATCCCCGCCAAACACCATAGCCCTGACGGATTCAACCACCTTCTTAAGAGGAATTACCTCACTGGGGTCATCATCCCTCATAGAACTCTCTCTATAATTCCCGATGGAGCCATTGGAATTCTGTTCCCAGGAAGAACCTCTATTAGAATCAATAGTAGTAGCAGCAGTGGGGTCCACAAGCCAGTCCTCCCAGCTCCTGTTCTCCTCATTTCTAATATCCTCCTGGGCTTCCCTCAACTCTACAATAGCCTCCGCTCGTTGTCTCCACGCTTCAAACTTTTCCTTATCCGACAACTCCAAGTCATCACCAGCAGACAAGCTCTCCTCAAATTCAACCTCGTCCGGCAGATAATCATCCTTCAAACCGAACCAGTTCCCTTTCTCGTCAAAGAACCTCTTCCACCAACTCCTCTGCCAATCCTTCCTTTTCTTGACCTGAGGAATCAGCTTCTGGAATCTTCTCTTCCAGCTCCTACACCCGGTCAATCCGGCCGACGACCCGCCCAGAAAAAAATGGGTGGCGAATGTGGGTCGCTTTAGAGAGAGAGGATTTGGGCAGGAGATTGTTGAAGTGCTCATTGAGATGGTGTGGGCAACTCCTCATTTTTTAGCAACCTCATCCGTCAATCGAGGAAATTCAAAACATTTACTCAAAGTCCCACTACAAAAGGGAGCCGATTTTCGATTTCAGTGAGATGCTGAGAGTATGTAGCCATGTAGGTGGTGATTTGAGTGAAAGCTTGTCGCTGAGGTGCTGTAGTGGAACCTCCTGGCTTATTTCAAATTTTGTAATCTTATTTGCGGTTATTCTAACTTTGATCTTTTGATTTAAATCTCTCCTCACTCGAACAATTGAGCTATCCGTGCGGGTTTCTTATCTCACTTATATTGCTATATGTGTTCATGTTGATAAACATTATCATTCGAAAATACAAAAAAGGCAAAAACAAGTTGTTCAAAATTCATGTCGTTTCAAATGTGGTCATTTTAGGACATACTCCATATTTAATTATATTCAAATTTGTGGTTTAATCATACCAGGGTGGTCGATTATGGACAATATTACATTTGCATTTGAAACGTAACATTTCATTAAGAGGAAGAGGTATGATAAGGAAAGTTTGGCGACATTAAAGCTTGATATGAATAAAGCTTATGATCTCATTGATTGGGATTTTTTAATGGAGCAAATGAGGTTTGATACGAGATGGATCCAAATTATTATAACATGCATATGTACTATTCAGTACTATGTCCAGTTTGACAAGGAGTGCATCGGACCAATTACTCCGGGGTGTGGCCTGAGATAGGGGGTCCGTTATCTCCTTATTTATTTATTTATTTATTTATTCTGGTGGTGGAAGATTTAAGCGCTTTATTACGGCAGGCGAAGCGCAGAGGAGAAATTCATGGTGTGGCAGTGTGTAGAGGTGTTCCACAAGTTTCTCATCTTCTTTTTGTTGATGATAGTCTTTTGTTTTTTATAGCTATTCGGCGAGAATGTGATTTAGTTTAAACTATTTTGGAGCAGTATGAAATAATGTCTGGACAGGCGGTAAATTTTAATAAATCTAGTCTCTCTTTTGGCCCGATAGTGGCGGGGGTCTAAAGAGATTGTTTTTACCATATATGGGTGAGGGGGTGGCGAGTGAGACACAATACTTGAGATTACCGACATTGGTAGGGAGGAATAAAAATGCTATTTTGAAGTATTGACGTGATAGAATTTGTACTCGTATAAAAAGATGGAATAATATATTTTTAGGGAAATTGCTCAAAATAGGAGCAAATGATATTTGGAATTCCAAAATATGACTAATATGTTTTTCTTCCCAAAATAGAAGTGTTACGGTAATGTATGAAAATATTGTCATGATTGAAAAATATTGTCATTAATTGTAATAAATATTGTCAGGTTAAATGACTGTACTGCAACTATTTGACAGTCACGCGTACAAGATGGCAGTAAATACTGTCATGTTAATCCCATTTCGGGAATAAAACATAGTAGTTCTATTTTGAAATTTCAAACTCCATTTACTCCTATTTTGGGAAATCTCCCGTATTTTTTTTATCCAGGGGGCGTGCAACACTGTTGGAAAATGTTATACGAAGTACATGTTATGCTGAGTTATGCGATGAATGTTTTTTACTTCGTAGGCAGCTTTGTGATGAGGTGGAAAAATTTATGAATGAATATTGATGGAAAAGATCAAAGTTTGAGCAGAAAGGGCTACACTGGAGGAGCTGGGAGTGGTTATGTCGACCACGTGATATGGGGGGCTGGGTTTTCGACGTTTGAGGGAGTTTGATTTAGCTATGCTCTCAAAACATGTCTGGAGACTCATAACAAACTCGAGGAGTTTAGCTAACCGAGCTTTCAAAGCAAACTATTATCCGGGGCCATTGTTTTTATAGGCATGGCCGCATGGATGAGGAAAAGTCCCTCTTACATTTGGCGTAGTATTATGGAAACCCAGACTATACTTAAGGCGAATATCCGGAAGAGAGTGGGAACTGGCAGGGATGTTCGGGTATGGGCAAATAGGTGGCTACCTTGGGAGGGCTCAGGGTACGAATGTGGCGACATTAAGAACTATGGATGGTAAGGCCTGGAATGTTAACAGGATACGATCTTTATTTTCACAGGAGGGCACAAAGATCTTGGGTATCCCTGTTAGTTTATCTGATCGAGCGGATAGTGTTTGGTGTGTGGATGAAGGGAATGGTATGTTTTCAGTTAAGAACTACTATAAATTATTGATGGGAGTTGTGATGGAGGCGATATGGGTGGGGTGGGCATCTATATTTTTATTCTCATGTATTTAAACTAAAGTGAAACGACCAAACTTTTATATGACTATAGAAGCAACGAATTTAGCTAATTACAAAGAGCAACCATGCACGAATTTAGCCAACTATTCACTATTTTTCAGAGATAAAAATAAATGCACTCCTAAAATGTTTCTATAGGAAAAAGATTAAAATTGACTCAACAATAAATAATTACTTCGTTAATGGTTAGCTATGCAATGACCATTAATAAGAATCATAGACAATCATTGGAACAGATATGCATCTTCCTCCGGCGGCCTATTTTTACGCATGGAGAATTGTATGTGGCGGTCCCGAGAGTAACAAGTCCATCTCGGTTGAAGTTTGTCATATGTGACGAAGACGAACAACCAACAAACTGTGCATTGAACGTTGTTTACAAAGAAGTTTATAATAATTTATATTTTTTTTTGACAATTTCTTGAACAAACATGCACACCTATTTACGATATCGTGATTAATATTTAATTTTGAGCATTGATTTTTAATTTCAGATAAGACATGACTTCTTATTTTAACTTATGTTTTCAATTAATTGATTCACTATCAACTTTTTTCTTACTTCTTACATAATTTATCTGATTTTCGTATGTGACTTCTTTAGTCCTGTGCAACTAGGCAGAGCACCGGTCGGGATCGGGCGGGTCGGGTTCAAAAATTGTAAACCCCTCCGGTTACCGGATTGATAATTTCAAACCCTACCATATCAAAAAATTTATCGGATTTTTTGGGTTGAAGAAGTTCGGGTTGCGGTCGGGTTGATTCGGTTTTCGGGTTCATTCGGATTTTAATTTATTATTGTTGAAATTGTGATAAATAAAATGGTAATTGGTAAAAATATCATTCAAAGATATACTAGTATAACATTCAAAGTAACAATTGTATAAATACGGCAATCAACATATTTGAACATATAAATAATAATATACGGTGATTGTCATGTTTGATATTGTGATAAATAAAATGATAATCGGTCAAAATATCATTGAAAGTCATAACAATACAACATCCAAAGTTATAGTTGTACAAATATGGTAATTGGAATATTTGAACATGCATAATATGGTAATTGGCATACAATAATTGAGATATTTGAACATGCATAACAATTCAAAATAGTATATATACTACGCTAGTTCGGGTTTTTCGGGCGGGTCAGGTAGCATTTTTAAAATCCTATCCGATATCCGTTACCCTTAAAGATCAAGGTTTGCATTTTCGGATCGGGTAATCGGAATCGGGTCATCCGACCCGCTAGGCGTACTTCGGGTATATCCGATCGAATTTTCGGGTGGGATCGGTTTTGCACTCCCCTACGTGCAACACACGGGTGGGGTTAGGGGGTGGGCAAACGGGTACATGAACCGTGGGTCAGGCCGGGTAATACAGGTTCGGGGTGGGTTAGGGTCGGGTCCTAATTTTAGAAAACCCAAACGGTTCGGGGCAGGGCAGGTCCATAAAAACTTAGGAACCAAACGGGTCTTAAAATTTGAAAAAACAGGTATCCGGACCGAACCGTTTTAAAATATAATTTTAATACTCTATTATATTTAATATAATATATTAATAACACCTGAAAGCTCTTCATGTTCTTATGTCTAGATAATGACACCCAATTAAAGAAACTTGTCAATCAATTAAAAGGAGTTTCCAAGTTCATACAAATTCCTAAATATTTTCCCCAATTGTTTATTCCAAATGCATCAAGTTTTCTTTCTTAGATATTTTTTTTTGTAAAAAAATCTGCTACTCAATGAAGTGTGCATATTCATTTAAATCTTAATTTTTCTTATACTTTGAAATTTAATAAGCTTTAAATTGTTTTCATAGACGAATATGTAGAGTAAGTAGTTTGATTTCTTAAGACTTTATAGTGCTATTTTTTTAGTTTATGAATGATGATTAACATTTTTTAATTTAGGTGGTTGTGTCATGTTTAATTTATAGATCTGTGGTTAAATATTTTATTAACTAATTGAAAATGTTGTTTTTTATATTTTTATTTTGAAGTTTTACTATGTTATGGTTAAATATTTTATTAACTAATTGAAAATGTTGTTTTTTATATTTTTATTTTGAAGTTTTACTATGTTATGGTTACATTAATACTCAATTAGTTTGGGAATTTTATACCTAACTAATTGAAAATGTTGTTTTTTAACTGAATCGGCTTGTTTCAAACGGAGCAGGTAAAGTCCGGTTCCTATTTTGAGACTTGGTATACTCGGGCCGAACCTACCCATTAAATGGAACCGACGATTCTTAAATACTATCATATTTATCAATTACCCGAACCGACCCGAACCGTGATATTGAAATTGTACTGTGGTATACCCGACCCGAACCGTGGTATTACTTCACTCCTGATTAATACCTGAGTGAGTACTAGTTACTCCTGAGTGGGGTAACTAGTACTATTGAAATCATACAAAACAAAATACGTAGTATAATCGTGTTTCTGCTCGTTTTGATTCGATTCGATTTTGGTTCGACCCAATCGAACCAATATGCTTAAACATGAAAATGAAAATTAGAACCGGATGCCTTTGCCAGCTCAGAGTAAATACGACGCCGTGGACGTTAGCGGCGGCCCCGGGTGTCTAGGGCGGATAGGAAGGGGGTTTAGCATTTTTGCAGAGCGATAAGCAAGGGTTCTAGGTAACGAGGAAGATGAAGCCGGTGGTCGGAACGGTAGTGTCGAATAAGATGCAGAAGTCGGTAGTGGTGGCCGTTGACCGCCTCTTCCACAACAAGACGTACAATCGCTATATCAAGCGCACCTCCAAGTTCATGGCTCACGATGAGAACAACGAGTGCAACATCGGCGATCGGGTCCGTACTCTTTTTCTTCACAGACACACATGCACCGCATTTGTTACTAGCTCATTCGGTTTTTGGAACAGCCTGGAATTGGCTAACAATTTCACTACGACATCGCCTACTTTTGAAAGACATGATCACCATGGTTTGAAAAAAACATCTTTGTTAACTAGAGCAAGTTTTTTTGAGTTTTCTGGAATTATGCGTGATAAGTCTGTCTAGATTGTTGGCGATTCATTGTGTGTAGATCTTGCAGAATTTTGGTAGCATTATCCACTGAAATGTGCACAATCTTTATGTAGAAGAACATGGTTATTCTTTTTTACAAAAATCATAGGCAACTTTAAACATAAAAAAAATCTCTTTGGATGTTAAATACGAGAACAATATAATGTAAAGAATCAGTGGATTGATTTTATCAATGTTTGCTTTTAAAGTGTTTCATATGAATTAATTAGTTAAACTTCCGTTTTTTTTAATTTCTATTGGTTTTATGTGGTTGCGTTTCATCATTTTCATTTACCCCAGTGCCGCAAAGGCTCCCACCTACGGTGGGGTAAGGGGGGTCGGATGTACACAGTCTTACCCCTGTACTAGAGCACAGAGCCGGTTTCCGGATGACCCATAGTGAAAATCGCGTCCAAAATTGCATGGACCGACTGATGCTTCATAACAAAGAAGCGCAGACAGTTTAGTGAGCCATTTTGCTTTATTCCATCATAATCTCAAGCCAAAAAATAATGAATCTTTGGCTCCATTGCATATGCGGTTGCGTTTGCTGCACATTTTTTCATTACTTCACACTAGTTTTTACTTCATCTACTGCTGATATCTGCAACTTTATTTTATGTACTCTACCCTCTTATTAAGGCCTTCCAATATGGTCTTTGCTTCCATTATGTGATTGTAAGAAATTAATGATGCCCTTGTTTTCAGTTTTGTACTATAAACTGCTCACAATCTCATACTTGATGCATCCACAAGTAGGTCAGTAGACACTTTAGTGTGTGCAAGAAGATGACATCTTTTAGATGCAACTGAAATTCCAGGTCAAACTGGATCCTTCTAGACCACTGAGCAAGCATAAGAATTGGATTGTTGGGGAAATTTTGAAGAGAGCGAGAATTTATGTGCCCCCATCTGCAGCAGAAGCCTTGGCAGAGGCTAACACAAAGATTGAAGTATCTGCTAGTGTTGTTTCAAAGAGAAAACCAGCTCCATCGTCAACCTAATGAGGTCTGCCTAGAAAATACTCTGTAGTGCTAGTTCCTGATGCTTTTGACCTCTGATTAAACTTGGGTTTTCCACTTTTTCACTTGGTTTCTGGGTGATAACTTTCTTTTTCATGTAATTTTCAGAAAAAGCGGGAACTTCTATGTTAGAATATGTTCATTAGCCATTTTGCCAATTCGTGATCTCCCTAAGTGTTTTATGCTAGCTGTCATGTGAATCATAAGACCGAGATCACCACTTTGAAAACCAAGTTTTATGCTGCTCAACGTTCTGAAGCTTTTTGGCAGTTTCCCTATGCGGTCATTCATCTTCACTATTATCAGAACGTTGTCAATTATATTATTAGTGCAAGAATGGAAAAACAATCCCTATAAATGGTAGGAAAGGGGGGAAATGCTAATGAAGATATTCATATTACCTCAGGAAATCAATTGGATTAGAGCTTCTTAAAAAATTCACACGTATTTATATTTCTGTCTTTATATGATCGAAATAAGTAAATCAAGATAGTTTAAACAAATTTCTAAAATTGATTTAGTAAGTTTGAACTTTGAACAATTTACCCCCCAACGTTTTCTTCATTCTGTTGGGGTATATCACGTAGGGGGTGATAATCGAGTACTTGGATTGTTTAAGGATCGTGTAAGTTCACCTTCCGAATTGATATTTCTCCTTTATGCCTGGGTTACAAGAAATTCAATCTAGGATAATCCTTAAGGACACTCTAGAACTTAGGCACAAGAATTAGAGCCAAACTAGTCGAGTATATGGATTGTTATCTTTAATTTGAACGCCAAAAGTAATCAAGATATGTTGTATCTCTCTCCTCCCTGTTCTCTATACGAAATATGATGATATATATCCATATTACACGTCTCAGGCAGTTGCAACGCGTTTTAGAATAACCGTGACAGTTTTTGGAAAAACTGCAAGAAACTGCCCAACCGCTCTAGATCTCGGTCTAGAACCACAGAGTTGGTCTACTGAGTGTTCTACCGCGAGTTCCACTGCTGTAAACACTCTGGAATAGAACTCGTTCTTATATACAAGTGTGCACTCCACACCTCCTAGCTTATATTAGAACACAGTTCTAATCCCTATTGGCATCCATGTCATTTCCAATTACACAAAACGGCCGGTGACACTAAAATCACCAACAATCCTCCCCCATTTTAGTGTAACCCATGAAATGACATAACAAAGTTTACAAACCAAAACTTGCACATAAATGGAAATGTCGATACGATTGAATTTCCATCTTAGTATTTTACACATTCAAAATATTCGAGAATCGGGGTGTCCTACGGATTGAACCCTTCAACCCATTTGAATACCTCAAGATAAAATACATACAAGTTTCTATACTCAACCAGAATACAAACTTGACACAATTATAAAGCCGTGACGTGTGTCCTAATCCCATTCATGATCGTATAAAAGCCAAGTCCCAAGCTTTTTGAAGTGCGGCTACACTTCACGATCATGTAGGTAATTCCTTTACTCGTGTACCTGCTTACACTTTATCAAATGAATTATTAAGAAATAAATTCAGCCTCCCTACTACAGGTCTGAACACACCTTAGGATGATTTTCATTGTGTGTTCCAATCCATTAAGTGTGAGCTTTCCACATTGAATTCAGCCTCTAACGTTCTATTAGAGGGGAATTGGGTGTCTCACCATTAAGGATTAAATGGACTTCAAATCCATCCCTATAACAGACTTGTGCACTAAGTCTCGGGCCAAACTTTTGGTCAAGTGGTCCGCCAAGTTATGTTGCGATCTTACAAATTCCACCGAAATTACACCATTCATGATTAGTTCTCTAATCATACTATGTCTAACACCTAAGTGTCTAGACTTGCCATTATAAACATGACTATATGTCTTAGTCAAAGTGGCAGCACTATCACAATGGATAGAAATAGGTGTAATCGGCTTCCCCCACAATGGAATCTCAAAAATTAAATTTCTTAACCACTCCGCCTCTTTACCGGCGGTAGCCAACACAACAAACTCAGATTTCATCGTTGAACTTGTGATACAAGTTTGCTTCTTAGATGCCCAAGAAATGGCACCTCCCCCAAGCAAGAATACCCAACCATTTGTAGAAGAATGATCCTCTACATTGGATATCCAACTTGCATCCGAATATCACTCTAAAACCAAAGGATACTCAAGGTAACACAAACCATAATCCATGGTTCCCTTTAAATACTTGAACACTCTCTTCATTGCATGCCAATGTTGAGTACTAGGATTACTAGTAAACCGGCTCAACCTACCCACGGCATAAGTAATATCCGACTGAGTGCTTGTCATGGCATACATCAGACTACCAATGGCTTGAGAGTACTCAAGTTGTGATACCGCCTTTCCTTTATTAGGCATCAACTTCACACTAGGATCCATGGGAGTACCAACGGGTGAACAATCACTATAATTAAACCTTTTGAGAATATTCTCAACATAGTGAGCTTGTGTCAAAGCAATCCCTTTGTTTACCCGTTTAATCCTTATACCAAGGATCACATCTGCCTCCCCCATGTCCTTCAGGGAAAACCTTGATGATAACAACCTTTTGGTTTCATCGACCTGATTTTGGCCCGTTCCAAAAAACAGCATGTCATCTACATAGAGACATTATAAACACACCCGCCCCTGAGGCGTCAAATCGGCTATAGTACACTTGTCCGATTGGTTTAAACTAAAACCATTGGACAAAATAACTTCATCAAACTTTTGATGACATTGTTTGGGTGCTTGTTTCAGCCCATACAATGATTTGACAAGTTTACAAACCTTATGCTCATTTCCCGGCATAAGAAAACCTTCTGGTTGTTTCATGTAAACTTTCTCATCAAGATCACCATTTAAAAATGCCATCTTGACATCCATCTGATGTATAATCAGATTGTGTATAGCCGCCAAAGCAATTAACAACCTAATGGTTGTAATTCGAGCAACCGGCGCATACGTATCAAAATAGTCAATTCCGGGTTTTTGTCTAAAACCTTGAATGACCAACCGAGCCTTGAACCTGTCAACAGTTCCATCCACTTTCATCTTCTTTTTGAAAATCCATTTGCAACCTAAGAGTTTAGAACCCGGTGGCAAATCCGACAACACCCAAGTGCTGTTCTCCATAATTGATGACATTTTATCATCAATTGCCTCCTTCCAAAAGGCAACATCTCGGGATTCCATTGCCTCTTTAAAGGTCTTTGGATCATCCTCAACTTGGTAACAATATGAATAGTGTACCCCGTTTCATCCCTTGAACCTTCCACTAAATACAAGTGAAAATCAGGACCAAAGTCTTTCACGATAAGACCTCGTTTGCTTTTTCTTATTTGTGATGCTTCGGGATTCAAAGCACCATCTAAACATTCTGGAACTTGCACCTCACTAGTTCTAGGAACTAGTTCCTTTGGTCTTTGAATTGATGAAAATCTCATCTCATCAAAGATCACATCCCGAGACTCAATCACGGTGTTAACCGCTACCACATCATTAGGTTCTATTACATAAAACCTATAAGCCTTGGAATGTTCAACATACTCTATGAATATGCAATCAATTCCCCTTTCCCCCAAAATTTTCCTTTTGGGCTCGGGCAATTTTACAATCGCCCTACAACCTCAAACCCGAAAATATTTCAAATTCGGCGTTTTCGTGTACCAAAGCTCATATGGGGTTGTCTTGTTCCTTTTATTTGGAACCCTATTTAGAACATAGCAGGCCGTGAGCATGACCTCTCCCCAAAACCCTTCACTCAAACCCGAGTAGGAAAGCATGGAATTAACCATTTCCTTTAACACTCGATTTTTCCGTTCGGCCACACCATTTTGTTGTGGTGTATACGGAGCCGTGGTCTCATGAATGATTCCAACAGATTGAAAATAATGGGGATCCATATATTCTCCTCCCCGATAAGTCCTAAGACATTTAATTGGATTACCCGATTGCAATTCAACCTCGGTTTTATACACTTTAAATTTCTCTAAAGCTTCGTCCTTAGTGTGCAATAAATACACATAACAAAACCGAGTTGAATCATCAATAAAAGTAGCAACATACTTTTTATTGCCAAGGGAAGGAGTTGAGTGAAAATCACATAGATCACTATGTACAAGATCCAAAATAGCCGAATTCCTTTCAACATTAGAAAACGGTTGTTTTGTGATCTTAGTAAGCATGCAAGTCCTACACTTATCATCATTAATATCAAAAGCCGGAATTAAACCATCTTTAGACATTTCATGCATTTTTCTAAAATTAACGTGAGCTAATCTAGCATGCAAAATCATACAATCATTCATGGAAGATGTCACAAGAACAGAATTATCACTAGAAATTAATTTATTCACAACATTCAAACGAAACATGCGATTGGATAAATATCCAAAACCAACAAACACACCACCCTTGGACAGAATATATTTATCGGATTCAATCACTTGTTTGAACCCTAAATTAGGATGTTTTTACTTGGACTGTAATTTGCTGTTCTGGTCTGGTCTGGTCTGGTCTGGTCTGATTTCTTTGTATTTTTATAACTATCCAAGTCTGGTCTGGACTGGGACGAATTACAGTCCAAGTAAAAACATCCTTATTCAACATACTTCCCGAAACAAGATTCTTTCGAACCTTCGGTACATACAAAACATCAAACAACGTAATTGTTTTTCCAGAAGTAAATTCTAAAACAACTACACCCTTTCCCAAGATAGACACCATTGACTCGTCTCCCACGCATAAGAAAGAATCGACCTTCACTGGTTCTAGGTCTTCAAACCATTCATTATCCTTACACACATGGCTCATAACCCCCGAGTCAATCCACCATGCACAGTCATCATCCTGTACATAAAAAGATTCTGGAATGAGTGATGCATAATTCTGATCAGAATTATCAAAGTTAGTCAGGAACTGACCTCCTTTCCGTGGAACCAGGTCCTTAGACCGTTCCTGTCCATTGACACTCGTTCCAGCGCCATTCTTGTTCAATTTAACATGGCAATCACACTTCACATGTCCAACCTTTTGACACCTCCAACAAACCAAACCTTTCGGTTTCTTGTTGGGTTTGTCATGGTCTTCCTACTTGCGCTTTTTGCCTTTCCCCTTATCTTTCGGGTTGGATTTATTATCCTCAACCAAGTGAACATGAGTCAGTCTAGATTCAACTTCACCCATAACTTGGTCATTCTCTTGCACACGAAGATTCTCCTCAATGCGCAAGTGACTCCCAAGTTGAACCAATGACAGTTCCTCATCTTGATATTTTAAAGAACGTTTAAAATCCTTCCAAGAGGGTGGAAGTTTGTCAATTATACTCGACACGACATAGGACTCATCAACACCTATCTTGTGGAGTTTAAATTGACCAAGAACACGAAGGAGTTCATTGTATTGTTCCATAACCGGCCTTGAGTCAACCATTTTATAATTATTAAAATCATTCACCAAGAACTTCTTACTAGAAGCATCCTCGGTGATGTATTTTGACTCAAGAGAATTCCACAATTCCTTCGCACTCTCAACGTTTTGGTAAATATCAAATAACGCATTGGACATACCGTTAAGAATGTGGCCTCTACATATGTAGTCATCGTTCTCCCACTTGTTACGCCTCCTAGTTTGTTCCAAGGTTTCGTCCTCCATCACTTCCGGCATCGGAGTGCTCAACACGTTTTCAACCTTCAAAGTGGTGAGGAGGAAGTGCATCTTCTTTTGCCATCTACGGAAATCGTTCCCTTGAAGCTTGTCCAATTTGTTGATCTTGGATGTCATTTCTTCCACGATACTCATGATTATCACAAAGAAAATATCAATTTGATTGTTGGGGTATATCACGTAGGGGGTGATAATCGAGTACTTGGATTGCTTAAGGATCGTGTAAGTTCACTTTCCGAATTGATATTTCTTCCTATGCCTAGGTTACAAGAAATTCAATCTAGGATAATCCTTAAGTACACTCTAGAACTTAGGCACAAGAACTAGAGCCAAACTAGTCGAGTATATGGATTGTTATCTTTAATTTGAATGCTAAAAGTAATCAAGATATGTTGTATCTCTCTCCTCCCTTTTCTCTGTACGAAATATGGTGATATATATCCATATTACAAGTCCCAGGCAGTTGCAACACGTTTTAGAATAACCGTGACAGTTTTTGCAAAAACTTCACGAAACTGCCCAACTGCTCTAGACCTCGGTCTAGAACCACAGAGTTGGTTTACTGAGTGTTCTACCGCGAGTTCCACTGCTGTAGACACTTTGGAATAGAACTCGTTCTTATATACAAGTGTGCACTCCACACCTCCTAGCTTGTTTAGAACACGGTTCTAATCCCTATTGGCATCCATGTCATTTCCAATTACACAAAACAGCCGGTGACACTAAAATCACCAACACATTCCAAATCCCCACTCTATTTTCATCCCAGTTTCCTTTTCTTAGTGTATTCTAGGTTCGAGACAGGCTCTACATTATGCAGGAATCAAGCACACTTAGACACATCGTAAAATTTATGATTTAGCATAACCTTTCACTTGGATTCTATAAGTTGGCATATATGATGAAGAAAAAAGCTCTAAACTCAAGTGTGCTGCATTCTTTGTGATCCCAATAATGAGAACTCGTTGTTTGTGTTATAGATTGTGGAAATGCATTTGTAAGAGGTTCATAGTCTTGGTCTGCTATTTGTGCCTACAATGAAAAAGAATCCTCTGGAAGTCAGTTTATATTGTCCTTTTTGCCAGGTATACAGTAGATGCATGCACGTGGCATCATCCAGAGAGCCGCACCTTTGCACCAAAGATTGGAAGATTCAAAGAGATATCTTCTTTTGTGCATGACTATAAAGTCCCAAAGTTAAATTCCTCCACTAGAAATGGATTATATATTTGAATTTGAAGTAGTTGCAATAATATTCAGTGGATATTACACATCTTTTTGGTTCCCATAACTACTTTGTATTGTGTTCAAATATGCATCCATAAGCTTTGTGGTAGAGTTACTTTATCTTTGGATGTTTTTGTGAAAGTACAAAATGAGAGTATTAGGAACGGGGGAATGTCATGGAGTAATTTAGGTTTGGTATATATACAGAAAACTTTTGAGGTTGAAATCATGAAACTTGTGCTAAAATGTTTCTGGGTATTTGAAATACCTCCAGCTTTATATGTTTTTGGTTATTTTCTCAATTAGATCAATTGTATTTTTATACATACGGTATTTCATTGGGTTTTCAACTGAAACGAGTATGGGGTGTTCGGTTAATAGCCTATCGTCCATTTTTTGGTTGATTTACTGCTATTTGGCATTTTACCAGATCAATCGACTAATAGGGGTGTTTCGTTAATGGCTTTCTAATTTGGCTTTTTAACCCAAACAGCCAAAAATAAAAATGCCGTTCGTATATACCGGGTATTCCTATTTTACCCGTACACTGTTCTCTTCTTTCTCTTCCACTCGCCACTGGTCTTCTTCCTTACCAATTCGACATACTGTGAGAACAGACGAATAATAGACCTCTTCCACTCTTCCTTTTTGACCTCCTCAACTTTTAAACAACTTTATTGCATTACTTAGTATAGCATTACTTATTGCTCCATTTGATATATAACCATACGGAGTACTGATTAAATTTAATAATACAAGAAAACCAATATATAAAAAAATGTTAATGGTGTACGTAATTGTAGCAATATGATTAATTGATATCCTTAAAAGTCATTTAACAAGTTATCGGTTGATTATAAATAACTATTTAAGCAAACATCATTTTGTAAATCTCTAATACTATCTGCTAATCAAAACAGACAATGGAATCGCCAATAGCCAACCACCGACACAATCAGCTAACAACTGATTGTCAAACACCCCCTATATGAAAAGTGACACGTATATGAAAGAATTATTGAATTGTGGATGACGATTTGTACTTGTTGAGGTTTATTCCTCATGATTCAAAGGTCCAACACAATCTTTTGGGTTTCGTAGGAATGTCGAGTATTCAGATGGATGTTTAGGGCAATGAGAGTGCAAGAGCAGGGGCAAATCCAAGATTGGGAGGTGGGGTGGGCTAAAGAGTAATTGTTTTTACTATACATACAAAGTTTAGCTCAGAACCGTTATTGAATCAAGCTTTTTTTTATTTATATACTCGAGTTCGAGCTTGATTTTGAATCTAATTTAATGATTCGAGCTTAACAAGCTTTAAACTCGAACACGAACTAGATTTTGAGTTTGAATAGTTATTCAAGCCGAGTTCGAATAGAGTGATGTTTGGTTCCAATCGGACTCGAGCCCATCGTTTACTTTTACAGAGTAAATTATAGGAATAAATTATATATATCTTAAATTTTAAACGTTTTAGCAAAATTTTATAAATTTATTAAAAACAATTAAAGATTTGAGTTTTTATTGAATAATTCAAACATGAACCTATTAACAAGTATAGTCTAAACTTATACATTTAAACATGTTTATCAAGCGTTATAATCGAACACCGAAAATCTTTTGAGCTTAGCTCGAGCTCAATTTCATATTGCCCAGTAGCTAGGTAAATATTCATTTCATTTTATTTCTTGACAATATGTTCATTATCTATTCTATAAAAACATTTTCAATATTTATATGAATTAGAAGTATTCCCAATTTTAATATTTAATTGAAAATTTTAATTCTTTCTTACATGTTCACACAATAAATATTATCTCTAAAATATTACTTATAAAAAATAATAAACAAAAATGTGACTTAGTAACTTTTCATAAAATATTACTAATAAAAAGTAATGAACAAATGTGACTTAGTAATTTTTAGTGACTACAATTATGTTCAAAACTTCACATCACCATAATAACTTTGAATACAATTATAATCACTAAAAGTTACTAAATCATATTTTTCCCAAATCACTTTTACTGTAATAACATTAGTGTAACATTAGTGGAGGAGAGAAGAGATGCCGCAGTGAGTCAGGGACGATTAGGACCGCCTGTAGCCCGTAGCAGGAAACTGCAGATACAACACTATAGCCCACAGGTATTCCGTACTCTCGTACTCCTCCGGTTATCTGCTTTGAGTTAATTAAGTATGTTCTAGTTTTGAATTTCTGTCTTTCTTTTACATAATTACAACTTACCCCCTCCGGTCCTTAATTAACTTTACATTTTCTTTTTTTGGTCGTCTCATATTAAACTCTACACTTCCTTATTTGCCTTATTTGACAAACAAATCTACACCAAACAGTGTCAAACAATGTACTCTACAATAAAGATAAATTTATTTCCTTAATATGTATGAAGTCAAAGTGTAAACTTCTGGGACAGGGGAGTACTTTTTAATTTTTTATGCAATTATAGGTTTGTGGTTGCCGATTCAATTATTGTTTAATTGATGTGTCAAATCATTAAATTGTGAAAGTGGTGGCTTGTTGTTGATCGGTTGTGTGTTTGATTTTTCATTAAAGATCGACGTGTTATTAAATTGTTGTATTTCACCTTTTTTATTCAAACCTTGTTATGAAATTGTGATTTTGTGTTCTTGTTCATATTTATTGTTCTGTAAAACTTAAGAAACTTTTTTAAATTGGTAAATTTAATTAATTCCAATGCATCATAAAATGATTGAATCTGGACGGGAGAAGGAGAAGAAAGAAGAAGATAATGAAAGACTTTATTAATTAGCAATATTAAGCATTGAGCATAATGTGTTAGAGAATGATTACAAAAATATCAATGATGGTTTTGCTTCACAATGCTCAGCAAGAAATGTATTTAAAAAATATTTAGTTTTCCCCTTTTACTTTTTATTTTGCAACTATGGTTTTGCTTTGTTTAAATCTTTAACATATCGAATGATTAAAATTCGATATGTTATACCGTTTTTTAATTTTGTTCAAATTCTTTATTATACCATTTTTTAATATTATTATGCATCTTAGTTTAGACTTTAGAGAGAAAATGGTTTTGATTTTTCAGATTAAGCCTATTATAAATTATAACTTATCGCCCATAGGCCCTAAATTAGATAGGAGCGGCCCTGTATGATCTGTAAAGATGTATTAATTAGGATTTTCTGTAAAAGTTAAAATAGATTAAATAACATAAATTTTGAGTTTGCCTTTCAAGGGATAACACTCACTAAGAACACAATTTATAGACCTATGATTTGTTTGCTACTTTGATTTTACTAAAGTTGTTATGAACTTTTAAGTTTGAGTTTTTATTTATTTTTCTATTGACTTATGATATTTTGTTGCCATGCACTAAAATAAAATTTCAGTTCACTAAAATAACCAAAAATACCATCCTGATATTTGGTTATTTAGATTTGGACATTTGGTTGCCTATCGACTTATGATATTTTTTATATTGTGTTTTGAGTGTAAAATATTGTAACAAATAGTATACATGCGCTTAAGCAATGATGCACACAATATTTTTACCCACGTTGTGCCTCAGCTAAATGCATCCACATTATAAATGGTACTATTTCTTTAATCTTTACAATGGTAAACTGGGAGACCAAAATGAAGTGAAAAAGGAGAATTAGATCTAAGAAGTGAATAGCCCACAATATGGAGAACAAAATAATGAAAGAAGTCCCGAAGTAATTTAACATTTTGAAAAATAATAAAGGTACACACTTTTGTGTACACACTTTTTACACATGTCTGCGTAAGATTTACACAAAATACGTTTTGTCTGTACACAAAAAAAAAAACCTTACACAGACATTTGTAAAAAGTGTGCACACGAAAAGTGTGTAACTCAAATCCAACTCTAACATTTTAACTCTTGAACCTATGAAGTAGTGCAAAACTGAGATTTGTTGATCATAAATGTCAGAACAATAAAATTAAAGCTAGTACATGCAAACTTGAATACCATCTACAGAGTCTGCACATAATTAAGAGAAATTTAGCAACAAATTTGCCATCAAAACTAACATAAGCAGCCAATTTTGGTCAATTATGAAATGGCCTTATTGTATTGTTTGGTGCTTCCTCTGTTAAATGTAGCGTGTTATTTCAGAGACTTGTTTTCTCTTATACCTGACAAAAGTTTCTTGTAGGGACTGACTCCTTGCATCCCAAAAATGAGAGTGCCGAAACTTGAGGATTCATTATTTGGGGCAAGCAGAAAAAGCAGAATATGACGAGCAAGGATACTCACATTTTTTCCGCTGAAATGTCCAACCCAAATAAGTTTTCCAATGATGGAAGTTTCTTGACTAAGTTTATCATTCCGAAGAGTGATAGGTTTGGTGAGATGTGTGATCATTCAAATCCAATTTTAGAAGCAGTTAATGAGTTGACACCTTTGGAATCCACAAAAGGCAGCAAAGAAGCTTCCGAATTGAAGCAAGCGCTGAGTGCAAATCAGATAGCAGCGAAGTCGATGCTACTGCGCATGAAAGGATTACCTGATCAAGCAGACAAACTCATGGTGAGAACATCTAACCCGTATTTGTTTTGATATTCATATATGCATATGTACATACTACATATGAATAGCTTTTTCCTGCTGAACCGAGTTAGAGAAAGGCTAATGTTTAGTTCTGATTCAAGTAAGAAAGTTCAGCCAAAATTAACGGCTTTAAGATGACACCATAATACCATATCTTCTCTACACAATGTGATCAGAAGTCATGGAGGAAAACAGTCCATTTTCAAAGGGACTTCTTCCCGACTTCCCCTCACTATTCAATACGACTACTTATCCCACCATAGTTTTGAACCATCCTCTGAATGGGCAACTCCTATCACTACATTAGTTAGCATTTGATATCCCATTCTGAATTCAGCATCAGATCTATATCAGTATCCCGCACGCATGAGCTGGGTATAGTTGCTCTTATTAATGCTCTGAAATTCTCAAAGTCAGGCAGTAGTACCTGTTTTTTTAACTGAGCAATATAAGCCGAACAAGGTTTCTGATATTTTGTTTCTGAGAAAAGCTTGCTGCTTTGTTTTTATGAAAAAAGATGTTAAGAATGTGGTGGTTTTTAGAGATTGATTATTCATGCTCTTTTAAAACATCAATTTTTTCTCCATCAGGAACAAGCAGAAGAAGTGAAAGCAAAGCAAGCCACTTGTGATTGTAAAGGTGATGAGTGCAAACGGTATCAAATTGATGGGAGCACTAGCAGGTATTTTGCATCTGTTGAATATATTTGTAAAGTTACAGCTAAAAATCACTCTTTAAATTCAGGATGTATGTGTACTTGCAAAAACCACACAATATACAATTAATTTTTTTTCCAACAACCTTGTTTTTGTTGGGATTAATTAATTAATCTTAATTAGTTTACTTCCTAGGGAACATAAATTATCTTTCCCTACTTTTATTGGAGAGATGAAAGGTCTTCTTGGAAAGGTAAATTGTATTTCCTAGGGATTATTTTACTCCTCTTGTAATGCCTATATAAGGTCACCAATTGTAATGTTTTATCAAGTGGAATATAATACATTCTTCTCCATTCCTTTGAGTTGTAAGTTACCCAAACACTTAGAATATTTTCGGATATTTGGGGCCTTCAAATTGGTATCAGAGCCACTGTTGAAGAAGAAGATGGCAACCACCATGTTCGGCCAATTACCTCAATTGAAGAAAGCAAACTTCGACCGATGGAATGCTCAAATGAGAGCACTGTTGAAGTCACAAGGAGTATGAGATGTTGTCGATAATGGCTACACAACACCGGAGGAAGGAACCGTCTTGACGGTTGCCCAACAAGTGGAACTCGAAGGAGCACAAAAGAAGGACCAAACGGCACTGTTTTGGTTGCTTCAAGCAGTGGATGACACCATCCACGAGAAGATAGCCGATGCCGAAACTTCAAAAGAAGCTTGGGACATCATCGAAAGAGTGTTCAAAGGAGGGGAAAGAGTAAAGCAAGTGAGGTTGCAAACTCTACGAGGAGAGTTGGAGACTATGCGGATGAAAGAGAACGAGAAGGTCACCGAGTACATTAATCGGGTGATGACCATAGCAAATCATATGAAGAGAAATGGTGAAACCGTAAGTGAGAGTCGGATAGTAGAAAAAATTCTACGAACACTTACGGACAAATTCGAGAACGTGGTATGCGCAATCGAAGAAGCTAGAAATATTGAGACGCTTACCATTGACGACCTGTCGGGGTCGTTGGAGGCACATGAACAAAGAAAGATGAAGCGGCTAGAATCGCTTGAAGAGGCATTACAAACTGTGGTGGTAGAGGAGAAGGCAATGTATGCCCATAAACCGAGAGGCCGAGGCCGAGGTCACTTCCGTGGTCGGGGCCAAGGAAGAGGAGACTACAACCGAGAGGAGAATACCCACCAGAACCGAGAGGACCAACATCGCCCGACCTGGAGAGGCCGAGGCAGAGGAGCTGCCCGAGGCGGTCGGGGAGGCAGACCCGATGGGGAATGCTACAATTGCGGGAAACGGGGACATTTCGCAAGAGACTGTTGGTCGAAACCAAAACCGGAGGAGAATCTAAATGTTGCTGAGCATGATGATGATGATGGAGATGAGGAAGGAGTGCTCTTACTAGCACACAAAGAAGGAAGCTTAACAGACGACGCTACGTGGTACTTGGATACCGGGGCGAGCAACCACATGAGTGGTTATAAACATTTATTCACTGAGTTGAAGGAGGCTGAGGGAGGAAATGTATCTTTTGGAGATACATCAAAAGTAGTTATCAAAGGCCGAGGAAAGGTTAAATTTCTGCAAAAGAATGGACAAGAGGGGACGATTGAAAACGTACTCTATGTCCCGAGCATGAAGACAAATATCATAAGCATGGGACAACTTATGGAGAAAGGGTATTCAGCCGACCTAAGTGGTCGATACCTACACTTGAAGGATAGACGAGGCCGGGCCGTCGTCTGGGTAGAGATGGCCAAGAACAGAATGTACAAGTTGGACTTGAGAAGCGTAAACCATAAGTGCTTGAAAGTCGACCTGACGGACAAGTCACTATTATGGCACCTACGTTTCGCACATTTGAACTTTGGAGGATTAGCCGAGCTGAGCAAAAAGGGCTTGGTGCATGGACTACCCGAAATGGATTTTCCAAAGCAATTCTGTGAAAGCTGCGTACTTGGGAAACACACCCGGACGAGCTTTCAGAAGACTGCCAAGTACCGAGCCAAGGGAGCATTGGAGACAGTCCATACGGACATTTGTGGGCCGATCACGCCATCATCTTTCAGTGGGCGAAGGTACTTTATCACCTTTATTGATGACTACACCAGGAAGACTTGGGTATATTTTCTAAAAGAAAAATCGGAGGCCTTTAAAACATTCAAAAATTTCAAAGCCGAGGTGGAGAAGACAATCGGGCTGAAGGTGAAAGCGTTGAGGTCAGACCGGGGGGGGGGGGGGAGAATACATTTCAGACTCTTTTACAAAGTTTTGTGAAGAGGAAGGAATTAGAAGATTCCTTACCGCCCCGTACTCGCCTCAACAGAACGGGGTGGCCGAGCGAAAAAACCGGAGCATTATGGACATGGTAAGATCCATGCTCAAGAGCAAAAATATGCCAAAGCAATTTTGGGCCGAGGCGGTACGATGTGCGGTGTATGTACAGAACAGGTGTCCGCACTCAAATCTTGAAAATCTAACACCTCAAGAAGCATGGAGTGGTCAAAAGCCGACCGTGTCACACTTGAGGGTGTTTGGGAGTATCTCTTACGCACATGTGCCCGATCAGAGACGGACAAAATTGGAAGACAAAAGCAAGAAGCTTGTCTTCATTGGCTATGATGAGAAGACAAAGGGATACTGACTATATGATCCCGAGGAGAAAAAGATCACAGTGAGCAGAGATGTAGAGATAAATGAAAAAGGAAGCTGGGATTGGAACACAGAGAAGGAGTACGTCCCGGACGGGACCTCAAATAACGAGGACGTCCCGGACGGGACCTCAAATGACGAAGAGACCCCGGGCGGGACCCCAATTCCAATCCCGCTCGGGATGACACCAGAACCAATCGGAGCGGGATCTATGACGACCTCGGGGGACGAGGAAGAAGAAGAAGGGACGAGCCGGCAAAGGTACAGAAACATACAGGACATATATGAAGCAGCTCCAGAGGTTCACATGGTATGTCTTCTAGCCGATGGGGAGGATATTACTTTTGAAGAAGCCAAGCACGATGAAAAACGGAGAGATGCCATGAACGAAGAAATAAAAGCGATTGAGAAGAATCAGACCTGGGAACTTACCAATCTCCCGATAGGTCATAAGCCGATCGGAGTCAAATGGGTGTATAAGAAGAAATGCAATGCTGAAGGTATGGTCGAGCGATACAAAGCTCGGCTTGTTGCAAAAGGTTACAAGCAAAAGGCTCGGAATGAGAGACCGAAGAGAATTAAGATTAGGGGAGGAATTTGTTGGGATTAATTAATTAATCTTAATTAGTTTACTTCCTAGGGAACATAAATTATCTTTCCCTACTTTTATTGGAGAGATGAAAGGTCTTCTTGGAAAGGTAAATTGTATTTCCTAGGGATTATTTTACTCCTCTTGTAATGCCTATATAAGGCCACCAATTGTAATGTTTTATCAAGTGGAATATAATACATTCTCCTCCATTCCTTTGAGTTGTAAGTTAGCCAAACACTTAGAATATTTTCGGATATTTGGGGCCTTCAGTTTTAGTGTATAGGTAAAGTTTATCAAACTTTGATTCTTTTTACAATAGGTATATTATGCATGAGCTATCCAGTCAAAAGAAAAAGAAAGAGGATGATGCTGACCTGCATTTGGCTCACAAGATTATGCGCCAGAAACAATATTATATATCTAGTCACGCACATGATGAATATGAGTATGATGATGGTCCCTTGAAAAAGATTAGGAAGAAAGATGGGGGGACCAATGGCAAATTAAGCGACTTACCTAATTTTGCAAATCGCATTGTGACTAAACAAGAGTGCTGTCAATTCTGCTTTGAGAATCTTAAAAGATCAAAGCATTTGGTTGTCTCCATTGCAAATTTCACTTACCTAACATTACCCCAGTGGCAGCCCATTGTCCCAGGTCATTGTTGCATTTTAACTCTGCAGGTAAACAATTTTTTAACCTGTTTTATGCTCCTTTACACAATCTGGCATGTGTTATTGTTTATATACTCCATACACAAACAGTTCTCTCTCTCTCTCTAATTTGGTTATCTAGAATAGCGGCAAACTTATATATGAATTCTTTACTGATGGATGGTGCGTCAAGAAGTAAATACTGTTCTGACGGTTTTGTACTTTTGTGCAGTTGTTTTTTGCTTGCCTGTAGTAACTTGTAACCTTTCTAGTTGTTAGACATAGTTTTTATTAATTTTTATTTTTAAATTCGAACAGCATGAATCAGCTACACGATCTGTTGATAATGAAGTGTGGGAGGAAATTCGGAATTTCAAGAAATGCCTGATTATGATGTTTGCACAACAAGGGAAGGATGTAGTGTTCCTTGTAACTGTTATGGGGTTGGCAAAGCAAAGACATCATTGCTTAGTTGAGTGCGTTCCTGTACCACGGGATGTTGCAAAGCAGGCACCTCTCTATTTTAAAAAGGTATGACTCCTATCTTTCACATTTGTTATCTTCTTTGGGGTCTTTTTGAATGAAGAGTTTTGGGGGATAGGCCTTGAAGTAGTTGTTAGTCCATGTGACTATATCATAAGGGATTCCAACTTGTCCAGTTTCTGTGATATTTGTTGTATCTCTAGCTTGAAGGTCATCTTGATAAGCCATCTAATAAATGTGTTGCAGGCAATTGATGAAGTGGAAAGTGAATGGAGTCAACACAATGCAAAGAAACTAATAGATACAAGCATCAAAGGGTTACGTGGTTCAATTCCTAAGGATTTTCCTTACTTTCATGTTGAGTTTGGTCTAGACAAGGGATTTGCCCATGTCATCGATGACGAAAAATATTTCAAAAGCAGCTTTGGTGTCAATGTGGTAAGAGGTATGCTGAACCTTCCTGCTGAAGACCTTCATCTCTATCGAAAGCAGGACACTATGGTGAGACAGACACAAGCTGTTGCAAGCTTTGTTCAGGATTGGGAGCCTTTTAATTGGACTACCCAACTCCTGTAACTTGTAATTATATTTGATTTACACTTGGGGTTTTGTACCTTTCAGGCAAGACCCAATCTGGATTGTAAAGAGGTCTGAATTCCTGTTCTTTTACATGAATATCCTGTATAGAACAATTTCATATACCAACCAGTTAAGCACTAACGTGATTATTATTCTTAAGCATTACTATGCTCTTCTACTTGCTTGGTACTTGGTAGACTTATCCTATTTAGCCTTTTAACCATTAATTTAACCAAAAACGTCAGCAGTCATATCCATTTCTGAAATGCCAACGGCAATACAAGCGGGGCTTTCCTGTTACAAACTATGTATTAATCTTTTTTATAGCATTTGCCAACAGGCTGACCCTATCTCTAACCGTTCTATTTCCTTTTGTCGTTTATTTTCCTTCAATTGATAGTGATACTATCTACCCTGTAGCGGGGTAGATAGTAGCAGGCTAGATAAAAACCGATCAGTTTACATTAATGTGTTATTTCACCACACTCGTTTTATGGTTCAGACTTCAGACTGTAAATGGTGCTAGTTCAAATTAGTTCTTACAAAGTAGTTCTCTCTCTCAAAACTTATAATTTGGTTGGCTTAGACCTGATCAATCTCACCTCTAGACATATTGTCAACTTGTAATCCATTTATACTTGCATTTTAAGGGTGGACGTGGTTCCCATTTGAGCATGGCATTTGTGCCAGATTCGATATTCAAGAAACAATATCCTCAAAAGTTGAATAAATCATCTAAATTGAGTAAAATAATCAATTTAGTATTATTCTTAGGTTATAATGTCAATGAGAAATTTTATATATTGACATAAATCTATTCCATAATCGATTTAAAAAATGACAGAAAAGACATTTTAATAAACGTCTTAATGACAAGATCTACTATTTTTCAGCTTAACGATTAAGTCAGTTTTCTGACTGAATGATTAAATCATGCTTTCGATCAAGTCGTGAGTAAACACGACCTAATGGCTTAATGATTAAATCATGTTTCTCGTTGAGTGCATGTTTGGTAGGCATAAATCCGCACCTTCTCTCTTTTGTATTTTTTAAAAAGTTTTTAAAGGTTTCTAGTCGTATGTTTTACATGACAATTTCAAAAAGAGAGTTTTTTCAAAATAAAAAATCTTTTTTGAGAAGCTATAATGAGTAACATTTAAAAGTTCTGTAACTTTTAAAATTATTAGTCGTTTAAATATCAAATAAAACTAAATCAAACAATGAGTTTTTATTTAGACAATGTCACTTTATTTTTAAATATTTTTTAAGTCAATAAAACCTCTAAGGCTATGTTTGGCATGCTTCATTAGTTCATTCAGCCCATAATAGGCTGAAATTTCTGAAATTCAGTCAATAGTCACAAAAGTAGCTTTGTTTGGACAACATGCTAAACTGAGCTGAAGTAAAAATATACGGGCTGAATGAGAACGCTTGAGGATGCAACGTTTGAATTCAGCCGTTTGGTAAGAAAATTATGATGCCTAAATTATCCCTGCTGCTTTAAAAAAATCCTTGAAAATTCTTATCCTCATTTCTCCGACCGTGACTCCCGATACTGATGAAAGGGTATAAATTTTAGCAATATGGGCTAGCTACAAATTTAACATACGGACTATTTTTTATTTAGCATTGTTTTAAACAATTATAATACGATTTTGTTTAAAAAAGAGTTTTTTAAAGAAAAATGTTATACGGAGTAAAAAAATATTTACGAAATAAGAATCGGGTTAACATCATTTAACAAAATACTGATGAGATAAACTAGGTTAGAGAAAGTCGCAAACCATTTGGCTGCTCTCTGAATAATACCGACCAACTGAATAGAAGCGAATCAAGCTTCCCTAAGAGCAACCCCAATGGGGCGCTGTTTAGTGTCCGTTTAGTGTGCCATGTCAATAATGTAGACACTTTCTATTTTTTAGACTCTCCAATGCTAATAGTCTTTATAGGGTTTTGATGATCTGGCAGAAAAAAAATTAAACACCGTGAAGGCCCAAGTGCGAGTGAAGAAAGCCTCAAAAACTTGCTGACTCGGAAAAAGAAGGTGCCGCTTCATGAAAAAAGAAGAGGGAAACGAAAAAACTTCCTGTCATATCTTGGAAACTCCTGCTCAGACTGCTGCTCAGACTCCATTTCTCGAATCAGGGAAGGTCGGTTCTCTCGAATCATGGAAGAAGTTGGGTTCTCTCAAACTGCTACTCAGACTCCATTTCTCGCCGCACAGGTTGGTACAATTTCATATGAACAAAAGCATCTTTTGATTTTAGCCGCCTCGAGATACAATCGGTTCCTCATTGAACATTTTATTTTGCTTTAGGCACACTGTTATTTTGCAACTAGGGCATATAATCATCGCATAATTTGTGGTATTTAGTGTATGGTTGAATTTAGCGAGTGTTATTTAGCCGCCTCGATGTGTTATTTTGCAACTAGCGAGCATCTACGCTAAATTGGTTCCTCTGTTATTTTCCATTCATGCCTTCTCAGTTGAATTTGTTCTCTAGTTTTGATTTTTGTTTGTTCAGTACTTTTTGTCCAAGCCCCCAACTTTGGAAGATTATTGAAATAAACCAATCTTGGAATTCACCAAATAGGTATTCTTACACCTTTTACATAAATTCTTCATTTTCAATGAAGTAACAATAAGGAAATAAGAAATGTTGTTGAGTTCTTACAAACCTGGACAATCTTTAAGCATTGGTAATGAAAACATCAACCCCTAGGTCCGTTAGCTTAGCCAAATACATACTGCACATATACATACTGCAATTCTATTGATCTTATTTTCCCAATAAAGCCAAACAAAGTAGTTAATAGCTTGTTTCTTGTTCTTATCTGTTCATTCCCATGGATAGGATATGTTTCTCTTTCAATCCCTTTATTGCTCCAGCAACTTATATAGACATTTAGTTTGGTGTATTAATTATCATAATAACAATTTTAATTACTTCAATCCTACTTATTTGTGTTAACAGTTTGCCTAATTTCCTTAACTCTAGAGCTGCCCTAACAGAGTACTATCAGAACTGATTATAATGTTTTACAATTAGTGGAAAAGTGTGAACAACAACTTTAGCTAATTAACTAGCGGTATGAAAAGTATGAATTTTATTCAGAATGTTAAGGACCTGAGATAACAACATATCAAATAAACTAGCAATTGCTAGTTGATTTAAACTAGCAATAACATACCTATTAGTGTATAAATGGCCCAAATCCTAATGTTAGCATAGTCCAAAAGTGCAGTAACATTCTGAATGAATAGCAGTTGCTAGTTGATTTGATATGTTGTTATCTCAAGTCCTTTGATAGGTAACACAATTTTGTTCTTTTTCCTTATTTCTTTTCATTATGTGCAGGTACAATTTAACATGGATTCAGGGTCTAATCCATTCCCAAGCTCCCAACATCCTAACCATGCTAACCTGTCAAGCCAAATTCCAAATCAGTTTACTCCCATAAGCCACCAGTTTCAGCCCTCATATCAGCTCAATCCATTAAATGGTTCTTATCCTCCTTATAATAACCTACCTTACGGATCTCACTTCTCATTCCAAAATCTCTTAAATACTCCCATTATTTCAAGTGAACCTAATGAAACACACAACTCACGCGGGGGATGGAAAAGGAACCCCAAAAGTGTCCATGATAGTTTGGCATTATTAATAGAGACTAGACATCCTAGCATTGTGATTGCTCTAAGAGGCTAAAGAGGAGGTGGGGCCAATTTAAAAGAGATTTTCTTTTTTCTTTAAACGGCTATAACTTTCGTATTTTTACTCCAATTTTTTAAAAACATATACCAAATTTTATAACTTTTTGTGATCTTTCATATGACACCAATATGTAATATATAAAGTTTTTTAAAAAATATGAAGATCATATGGGATGAAAAATCTAATTGCAATAATCTATCGTCAATAAACTTAATTCTCAACCAGTTTAGACCAAGATTATGTATTCACCCTGTCAATTCAATTTATCAATATAATTATTCAATATAGTTTTTAGTTAAATTTTTCAATATATTTACCTGATGGATAAGTGTACCCGGGGGTATCTATCCGAGGGGTTATCACGGGGAATAACTAGAGAGAAGTCAGAGCAAGTAAGAGAGAGAAAGTGTATTGAATATGTAAGTTAAGGCTTTTTGAGCGTGGTTTACAATGGGGGAAAGGGGTGCTATTTATAGTAGTAATAAATGCTAGGTAAGGACACGTGTCAGTTTTCTGGTGGTCGAGGGGTCACCTCGACCGGGGTGGCACTGGCACACGCATGTGGCCGCATTAAATGTGGTGGTTGGATGTGACGTTTGTACTTGATATGGTGATCCAGGCGCATGTGAAGAGGATATTCTGTCGAGGTGGATGCCTTCGACTGAAGGGTGCTGGGCCGAAGGCTCTTCTAACCGAGGGCTCCTACCTGCCGAGGGCTTCAGGTGCCGAAGGCTTGGTTTTCAAGCCTTGTTCTCCTGTGATGCCTCTTCTAACCGAGGGCTCCTACATGTCGAGGGCTGCAGTTGCCGAAGGCTTGGTTTTCAAGCCTTGTTCTCCTGTGATGTTTCTGAGCTCGATTCCGTCACTGGTAACCTTCGCCCATGGGGCCGAAGGCACCCCTTTGCGTATTGTGGGCAGCTTAGAGCTCCATTTTGCTGAGTTTGGCCCGTTTGCGCCTGTTGGGCCGGATTGTAGTAGAGGAAGTATGTGGGTCGGGGGTCCATGGGCCATATACTCCATCATTACCCAATTTTTAATGCAAATTTTGAAATGGGTGAAATTGAGTAGCAAACTTCATTTTTAGTACGTTTGTTTCATTTAAGTTGATTTGTTTATTTTTTTTGTCAATCCTATAATACTTTGGTCGATTTCAGTTGAATAAATTTACTCACCTTTAAATTCAAAGGCATAAACTGAACTACCTGGAGTGATGTCAGTTTTGATCATTTTTATTCGGCTCGACTTCCGATAGAATGATGATTAATATGGATAAATTTATTAACTACCCGACCAGATTTGTGATTAAATAAAATTATAGTATTATAAGCGGACTGATGGATAAATGTACCCGGGGGTATCTATCTGAGGGGTTATCACGGGGAATAATTAGAGAGAAGTCAGAGCAAGTAAGAGAGAGAAAGTGTATTGAACATGTAAGTTAAGGCTTTTTGAGCGTGGTTTACAATGGGGGAAAGGGGTGCTATTTATAGTAGTAATAAATGCTAGATAAGGACACGTGTCAGTTTTCTGGTGGTCGAGGGGTCACCTCGACCGGGGTGGCACTGGCACTCGCATGTGGCCGCATTAAATGCGGTGGTTGGATGTGACGTTTGTACTTGGTACGGTGATCCAGGCGCATGTGAAGAGGATATTCTGTCTAGGTGGATGCCTTCGGCTGAAGGGTGCTGGGCTGAAGGCTTGGTTTTCAAGCCTTGTTCTCCTGTGATGCCTCATCTAACCGAGGGCTCCTACCTGCCGAGGGATGCAGGTGCCGAAGGCTTGGTTTTCAAGCCTTGTTCTCCTGTGATGCCTCTTCTAACCGAGGGCTCCTACCTGCCGAGGGCTGCAGTTGCCGAAGGCTTGGTTTTCAAGCCTTGTTCTCCTATGATGTTTCTGAGCTCGATTCCGTCACTGGTAACCTTCGGACATGGGGCCGAAGGCACCCGTTTGCGTATTGTGGGCTGCTTAGAGCTCCATTTTGCTGGGCTTGGCCCGTTTGGGCCTGTTGGGTCGGATTGTAGTAGAGGAAGTATGTGGGTCGGGGGTCCCTGGGCCATATACTCCATCAGGAGTCCCCCACTCCTTTTGCCGAAAGGTACTTGAAAGAAAAGGAGTAACTGTGGTGATTGCCCCGAAGGCTTCCCTGTTCTGTTGGGTGCCTCATTTTCTCAATTCCCCCATATGTCGAGGGCTGAGAGCTTCCTGAAGGGAGTGTAAGTGTGTTGCCCGTATGTGTTTCTTTGTTGTAGTTTGTAAAGTAATGAGAGATCTGCATTTGTGTGCTTTGCCGAGAGCATTGGTTGATTGAAGGCTTTGTGAGGCTGAAGGCATCATGTGGCCGAAGGCATCATGTGACTGAAAGCATTGTGTGGGCGGAGGCATCATGTGGCCGAAGGCATTGTGTGGCCGGAGGCATTCTGTAAGCCGAAGGCATCATGTCGATGGGAGTAGATTGCCGTTGTGATCTTGCCTCAGCTTGCTGTAGCTGAGAAATAGAAAATTTTTAACATTTGTCTGTTTTGCCGAGGGGAGTCCCCCAGTCCTCCACTCCTTTTGCCGAGAGTTTCTCGAGGGAAACAGGAGTAGAGTGATGCATGCCTTCAGTAGGAGCTGCCGAGGGGTGACACCTTTTGTTCCACAATGGGGAGATGCCTCGTTAAAAACCTCATTAGGAAAAAACCTCGTGGGAAAAATCCTAATGAGGGAAAAAGAGTACACCGGATGCCCTCAGAATGAAGCAAACGGAGTGCACCCGTCGGCTTTGATTGTTGAGCGGCGGTTGTGTCCGTCTGCTGAGGGGATATCCTAGATCAGCCTTAGATCCTGCATGAAAAAGCTAAGGAGCTAGTAAGGACCCCCTCGGTTATCAAATAAAGGTGACGGAGGGGTGCAAGGCCAGGTGGGCTTGTGTGAGAGCCTCTGGCATCAAATACAGATGTCGGAGGGATGGAGACCGAGGGGTCTTCGTGATGGCCCCCGACATCAAATAAAGATGTCGGAGGGATGAAGGTCGAGGGGCCTGTATGATAGCTCCCGACATCAAATAAAGATGCCGGAGGGCTAAAGGCCGATGGCCTGTGTGATGGCCCTCGACATCAAATAAAGATGTTGGGGGGATGAAGGGCGATGGGCCCGTATGGTAGCCCCTGGCATCAAATAAAGATGTCGGAGGGATGAAGGCCGAGGGACCTGTGTGATTGCCCCCGACATCAAATAAAGATGCCGGAGGGATGAAGGCCGATGGGCCTGTATGATAGCCCCCGACATCAAATAAAGATGTCGGAGGGATGAAGGCTGAGGGGCCTGTGTGATGGCCCTCGACATCAAATAAAGATACCGGAGAGATGAAGGCCGATGGGCCTGTATGATAGCCCCTGGCATCAAATAAAGATGCCGGAGGGATGAAGGCTGAGGGACCTGTGTGATTGCCCTCGACATCAAATAAAGATGTCGGAGGGATGAAGGCCGATGGGCCTATATGATAGCCCCTAGAATCCAATAAAGATGCCGGAGGGATGAAGGCCGAGGGACCTGTGTGATTGCCCCCGACATCAAATAAAGATGCCGTAGGGATGAAGGCCGATGGGCATGTATGATAGCCCCCGGCATCAAATAAAGATGTCGGAGGGATGAAGGCCGAGGGGCATGTGTGATGGGATTACGCTGAGGCTGAGGGCCGTTGTGATGTTGAGGCTGAGGGCCATTTTGATGTTGAGGCCGAGGGCCGTTGTGATGTGGAATCACGCTGAAGCCGAAAGCCGTTGTTGATGTAGAATCACGTTGAGGCCGAGGGCCTTTGGTGATGTGAAATCATGTAAGGAAAAAACCGTTATGACATAGAGTCATGTTGAGGCCGAGGGCCATCTGATGTTGAGGCCGAGGGCCGTTCTAACGTTGAGGCCGAGGGCCGTTGTGAAGTTGAGGCCGAGGGCCGTCCTGATGTTAAGTCATGTTGAGGCCGAGAGCTGTCTGATGTTGAAGGCCGAGGGCCTTTGGTGATGTGAAATCATGTAAGGCAAAAACCGTTGTGACATAGAGTCATGTTGAGGTCGAGGGCCGTCTGATGTTGAGGCCGAGGGCCTTTGGTGTTGTTGAGGCCGAGGGCCGTCCTGATGTTGAATCATGTTGAGGCCGAGGGCCGTCTGATGTTGAAGCCGAGGGCCGTTGTGATGTGGACTCACGCTGAGGCCGAGGGCCATTGTTGATGTAGAATCACGTTGAGGCCGAGGGCCTTTGGTGATGTGAAATCATGTAAGGCAAAAACTGTTATGACATAGAGTCATGCTGAGGCCGAGGGTCGTCTGATGTTGAGGCCGAGGGCCTTTGGTGTTGAGTCATGTTGAGGCCGAGGGCCTTTGGTGATGTAGAATCAAATTGAGGCCGATGGCCTTTCCTTGATAGTTCCGGGAGTCCTCCGGGTGTATGTTCCTTCTTTCAGGCTTCGACCGAGGGGGTTGATTCCCCGCCTCGGCCGAAAGGGGGTCCGAGTGATCCGTCCGGGGGTTCGTCTGTTAGTCCCCCGGCGCTGGGCCATCCCTTGATTGTGCCAGGAGGTCGTATGTTAGTCCTCCTGATGTGTGTTCCTTCTTCCACGCTTCATCCGAGGGGGTTGCTTCCCCGCCTCGACCGGAAGGGGGTCCAAGTGATCCGTCCGAGGGTTCGTCTGTTAGTCCCCCGGCGCTGAACCGTCCCTTGACCTTGGGGGTCCCGTCGTCTATTTACGGCGCGGGCTAGGCTTGGTCGGTTTCCGACGACTGCCGTTTCACCCCCAAGTTTGGGGATTTCGTCACCTCAGCCATTCTTCCAGGCCTGTCGCCGTGCGTTGCGCGTCGGCGACGCGGCGAGCGTCCTGCTCCAAAAACGCGGGCCTTTTGCTGGCCCCTCGTCTTTAGACACCACCGGCCATACCTGGGCATTTGGCCTCGAAGGGGCCGATAAGATGTCTGGATTGTGTTGTAGTTTACTTAAATTCATAGAAATAAGCGGAATACAAGGGGTGCGTTGTTTGACAACGGCTTTGTTAAGATTCACCGCTCAAGGCCGAGGGCTCTAGGCCGACGGGATGATAATGTGAATGGTGGTCGAGGGCCCAAGACTGAGACTAACGCCGAAGGCGAGGAACATGATTAGCGGAGGTGGTGCTTCTTTGGCTGGGGCTCCTCGAACTCCTCGCCGTCGCTGAGCCTCCCGATTTCATGTTTCTTCGTTGCGATGTCCCCTTCTTCTTTATCGGTGTTCTCCCCGGTGTTTTTCCTTGGGGCATTTTTGATGAATTGGTGGAGCTCACCCCGTTGAATTAAGAGTTCAATAGCCTTCTTTAACGAGACACAATCGTCTGTATTGTGGGAGGTGCTTTTGTGGTAACGGCAATAAGTGCCGCCTTGGTGGATGGCGTAGATCTCCCTCGCTGACCGAGGGTCCTTGGGGAAAAGGTCGTGCTCTTCCGCATAGTTGAGGATAGTGCTCACCGGGTGCGTGAGGGGAGTCCTCGGCATGTCCAGCCGAGGGTGCCATTGGTGTTCGTTACGGCCCTGCTGTGTGTGGCTTCCATGGTCTCGGCCTCCGGCCGAGGGCGCATTTGGGGCCGGCGTGTTGTTTGTCTTCTTCGAGGGCTGGCCCTCGTTCTTCTTGAAGGAGTGGAGGTCGTCGGCGTCGGCGTATAGGCTCCCCCGCTGGAGTGCTCTGATGTATGATCTCGGGGGGTCGGTGATGAGGCTCCGTGCGTAGGGGCTGCTGCGGAGAACCCCCTGGAAGAGGACGAGGAGGGTACGCTCGTCGGCGCCCTCAGCCTCGTCTGTCTCCTTCATCCACCGATCAATGAAGGACCGAAGTGTTTCGTCAGGCTGTTGCTTGGCGGAGAGGAGGTGGGAGAAGTGCTTTCTCGCGCGCTTCCTTCTGGCAAAATGGGTGAGGAAGCGTTGGACAAGATCTTGCCAAGAGTCAATGTTGCCCTCGGGCAATCGGTTGAACCATTCGTATGCTGGTCCCTCCAAGGTGGAAAGGAACCAACGACATAAGTATTCATCTGATGCCCCCATCATCATCATGTTGTTTTGATACCTGTTGTAGTGCTCCTGGGGGTCAGTTTTTCCTTCATAGGGCTTGATGAGTTGCCCTCGGTACTTTTCCGGGATTTGAGCCGCCAATACCCTTGGGGTAAATGGCGTCCTAGCTCGGAGTTGGATGACGGG